TCCACTCAGCACAATTCGCTTTGCCCATCTTGCTGCAAGTATTAGAATCAAACCAAGCTAATGAAGGTGCTCTTCAATCTCATTCCAAAACTATATGGAAAAAAAAAAAAATCCAGCCTTGAGTGAAAATTTCCACCGCCATAAATGCATCGCCAAGGTTTGCTTCAGTCAACAAGGTGCTCGTTGAACATGGTTTTCCTACAATAATAAAACTGAATACCCACAATACGCCATAGCCATGGAACTTCAGTAATTTTGCACCAAATTTTTTGCTTCTCTCAGCCCTAAACCAGACCCAGATTCTAAGCTAAGATTAACATTCCAATTTACCCTCAAACACCCACTCATGTGCAACACAGTTGAAGAAATCCGTCTGATTTTAACGCCCAAGACGGGAATACCACCTTTGCTCATTTATCTTCAGAATTATTTTCATAAATATCCTAAAGCATGTACCTCCTTTAACCGTTAATGTTTCAAAAGAATTTAAAATATTCCCTAATTCATAGAAAAATAGTCAAATTGCCTACTTCATCTAATTCTATGATTTTATCTATAATTTCAACAAAATGCTGACTGACACGCCGTTAAAAGTATTTTAAAATATAAACCTTAATTATTAATTTAAAAACCTATTGATCTTAATGTAAAAGCACACAAATTAAATATAATTTAAAGACTAATTAAAAAAATAAAAAATAAAAAACACGTCAGATTGATTTTTTTAAAAAAACAAACAAATAACAGATGTATCAAGTCCTTCCTTCTCTTCGGCCATTTCTCCATTCATTGAGGGAAAGCAAAAACTAAAAATAAAAAATTAAAGAACTTCTTTTTTAATTAAAAACTTAAAAAAAAAAAACTTGAATTATAATTTTATTTTATTTTAAATTTTAACTCGAATTTGAAACTAAAACTCAAGTTTAAATTTTTTCTTTAACTCAAATTCAGAAATTTAAACTCAAATTAATGAATAATATTTTTTTATTTTTAAAAATATTATAATTTTTTCGTTTTAATTTTGATTGAGATGATTTTTTTATGCATTGACTACGAAAAGATAAATAAAACTTCATTTATCCTATTAAAATTTTCTATCAGCATTAAATTTTTATTAAAATATTATCTAAATACAAATTTAAATTTGATTCATTCAAACATAAACTCAATTTCTTATCTTAAATCATAACTCAAATGTATATAACTAAATACAAACTTAAATATCTATAATTAAATACAAACTCAAATTATAATTTTAACTCAAATTATAACTTAAACTCAACTTAAAATTTACGCTCAAATTAGCAAAAGAACGGCGCCCACCTCTTCTCGGCCGTCACAGACCCACCAGAGGTCACCATTATAGAACCACCACGCTCGCCTCACGTCGGCTGGCCCACAACCACAACCCACAGTCGCCGCCCTACCACTTTTCTACAGATCGCGCACTCGCCCTCAACGATTGGGGTCGTGCAGCACTCATCTCATCTCTTCTCCGAAACGTCGCGCATCGCTGCCCTGCAACCCACGCCCATGCCAACCTTGCAGCACCGTCGCTCCCTACCAGCAAAGCACCACCTCCGCTCACCCAGCCCGGTGACCACCGCGCCATAACTTTGTTGCAAACCCAACCTTGCTCAGATCTGATTTTGTTATATTGATCAGATCTGATTTTGATTTCAAATTTTTTTTGACAAAAAAAACAGAAGAAAAGCTTACAATACTAAGATCGAATCTGGAAGCAATGGAAAAGGATCTTTTAAAAGAATTGAGATGAATCTTCAACAGACGAGGACAAAGAAGATGAACAAAGTGTTTACTGTGAATCCTATCAATGTCATCACCAGATTTATGCCCAATGAAAAAAAAAAAAAAAAAATCTGAATGATTCCTCTATTACTTTTTTTAATTTGATTTTTAATCAATTTGATATTTTTTTTTTTACGTTTTTCTAATTTTTGTTTTCTTGGCATGTAATCAGTCTTTAAATTTCATTTGATTTGTGTGATTTTATATTAAGGTTAATATTTTATTATTATTAATTAATTATAGTATAGTCTGATAGAATTTGTTTCTTATATTTGTCTTTGATTCTGAATCATGATTCATGGTTCTTTACAGTGTTTTTTTCTCACAAAAAAATACACATAAAACAAAAATAGTTCTAAATCATAGTTTTGAATTTATGAATCAAATGTCCACTAAAGTGATTATATCACAATCCAGAGCATGTTAAAAAATTTAACTTAGCAATATGATAAGAGGATCGACGATGGCATGCTACAACACCCATTGATTCTCTACAATAGAAGACATTTGATGCAAAGAATCCTGAATTTAGTGCAGAACCTAGGAATGTTTGCCTTGCATTGTCGGCGGATGGGATGCATCTGCATAATAATTTTAGCAGCAAACATAATACTTAGCCCATCATCCTTGTAAATTACAATTTTCCGCTATACTTGTGTATGAAGCGGAAGTTTATAATGTTGACCTTGTTGATTTTTGGACCTAATCAACCAGGAAATGACATTGATGTCTACTTAGCACCGTTAATTGATGGGTTGAGGAGATTGCGGGAAAGTGGGATCGAATTTACGATCGTTTCTGCGATGATTCCTTCGTACTCCGAGCAATGTTGATGTGGACCATTAACAACTTCTTTGCATATGGAAACCTATTTGGGTACTCGGTTAAGAAATGAAGGTGTGTCGGAAGACTTGTTTAAGCTAGCCGGAGGACCTCGTCGACGATAATGAAATACATGTCATGCTCAATAAATGGTTATACCGTCTATACTCGGGAAAGAGATGAGAAGCACCCGATCTAAAACAGTAGTGTTAGTCTTCATATCGATGTTATGCATTAGTCTTTGTGCCGATGTTATGCATATTTTGTCTGTAAAAGACAAGAATTTCATTTATGGAACAATGACACATGAAAACTTAACTATTGTGGATTGCGAGTGACACTTTTTATGTGTAAGTGGGCCGACAATAATTATGTGAATGTGATAGTGACGACTACAGCAATTGAATTTCGAAGAATGGGCTGTAAGAATGATCCTTTCATTTTGGCAGCACAAGCAAAATAAGAGCCCGTTTGGTTGGAGAATTTGTTCTCTGATTTGAATCATAGTTCATGGTTCGTTACAGTATATTCTCTCACAAAAAACACACGTAAATTGAAAATGGTTCTAATCTCATGGTTCTAATCCATGAACCAAACGGGCAATAAGTTTTCTATACGATCGATCCCAATGATTTGGAGTTGTCCTTAGTTGTTCCCATGAAGTCAAGAGCTATTCGTGATGGAGAATGAGATGATGATTAAAACGACATTCCATCAATGAGTAGAGGCTTGGCACTCGTTGATGAGGTTAATGTTTTTTATGATGATGATTCAACCTTGTCTGCTTAGATGTTAAATGGACATGTGTTGAAAATAATAAAAAGAGAAAAAAGTGATAAACTATATGTTGTTGTAATATTAATCATAAACTACATTTATTGATGTATTATTTAATATTTATAATTTATTTTTATTTAGAAATTTAATATTTTATTTTGCGGCTATAATTGTTCTATGAATTGTGCAAAAAAGTTGATAAAACACGGGATTAATAGGCCGACCCGTGGAACAAGAAAAAACGGCTCTTTTTTTTTAATTTGGGAAGAACATGTAACGACGGTTTTAATCTCAACATTAGACGATGATTTTATAAAAAATTGTCTTCTAAAATACGCACCAAGTATATTATTATCAACATTAGACGATGATTTACTAAGAAAATCGTCATCTAATGTAATTTTTAACGACGGATAAAAATCGTCGTTAAATGCCACAAACATTTAGAGCACACATTGGTATTAGGGTTCTAGAACCTGGAACCATGATTCTGATTCAAACTAGTGTTTGTTTACAAACAGTAAAAAGTAGTTTTGATTTGACTCACTAAAAATCAGTGTTTAGTTTGGATGGTTATGCTTTAAGATTTCAACCCTAATGTGATGTTTTAAACCAGAATCACCCATGATTCTAAAACCACCCCCTCTTAGTTTTTGGGTGGTTCAAATCCATGATTCTGGTTTTGATTTCAGAACCATGATTTGGACCCAAAATCATAAATCATGATTTTGATTCTAAAATCAAAATTAGATCACCTTGGTTTGAACCCTCATACCAAATGAAGTCTTATTGACTTGCGATTAGACGACGATTCTCCTAACCGTTATTTAATCTTTTAACGATGGTTATTAACTGTCATTAAATATCAGATTTCTATTAGTGATAGTTCTCTACTTCCAGTTATTAAGGGCTTGTTCGTTGCATCAAAACTTAAAAAAAAAAAAATTAAACTCAAGTTACAACTTTATTCAAGTTCATGTCCTTTTGTAAAATTTGAGTTTGAATTTAAGTTTTAACTTGAATTTTAACTTGAGTTTGGGGTTAAAATTTGAGTTCAAGTTTCTCTTTCAACTCAAGTTCCTAAATTCAAACTCAAATTAACGAACAATATTTTTTCTATTTTTAAAAACGCTATAACTTTTTTGTTTTAATTCCGATTGAGATGATTTTTTTATGCTTTTATAACGAATAGACGACTAAAATCTCATCTATATACCATATTAAAATTTTTTATTATTATTGAGTTTTTATTAAAATACTATCTAAATACAAATTCAAGTTTTAACCCATCTAAACACAAACTCAAAAAAATTCTTATATCAAACTATAACTCAAATGTACACAACCAATATAAACTCAAATTACAACTTTAACTCAAATTATAACTTAAATTTAACTCAAAATCTATACTCAAATTACCATAACTTATAAATACAATTGAACAAGCTTTAAATCTATATTACAAATTATCTATTATATATATATATATATATTTTAATCTGACTTGTTTTTAATCATACTTAAAGGTAAACATACCACTGAAAATTTAAAAACAAATTCAGATCACCCCAATTCCCGAGGACTACAGAGTGGGAGAAAATACCGCCACAAATATATTTTTCCATTATTTAATTCTCTACTTATTCTCCTCATAATTTATGGGAATGGTATGGGAGAGAGAGATAGAGATAGGGAGAACCAAAGGTCCAAATGGCTCTTGTCATTCCTCCTCGGTGGCGTATAAATAGAAAGACAGCCTCTTTCCTTTGATTAATTTCCAAGACCCAAAAACTCATTTGGAAACATCCTTCGTTCCCTCCGATTTTTACCTCTTCCATGGCCGCGTCGCAAGCAAGCCTTCTTCTCCAAAAGCAACTCAGAGGTCAATCAATCGATCAATCAATCAATACTTTCTCTATTCAATTGATCTGTTTGTTTTTATTTATCTATCGATTTCTTGTGTTTGTTTTTTCTGATTTTCTTTTGATCTTTTTTGGTGGCTTCAGATCTCTGCAAACATCCCGTTGATGGCTTCTCGGCCGGCTTGGTCGACGAAAGCAATGTCTTTGAATGGAGTGTCACAATTATCGGTCCTCCGGATACGCTCTAGTATGTTCTAATCCGATCTTTTCCCTTTTCTTAGTTTTTGGAATTCGATTTGATTATAGGTTAATTATTGGTTAGATATCTGAAAATGAATTATTGTGGTTGTTTAGGTTAATTATTGGGATACTGATTCGTCAAATTATTTGTCGGTTAAAAAAAAGAAAAAAAGAAAAGTTTTTTAAGTCGTTCAATGATTGTATTTGATCAGTCCCGTTTTGATCTTCACAAGAAGATTTTTCTTGTCATCTAGGACTTATAAAAGGGTTAATTTCACAGATGGTGTTGAGGTTTATACTCAATCCCATTTTAGTCTCTGACTTTTTAAACGTCAGTCGTCACATAGATGGTCCTTGAGGTTTTATTTTGTTTCTGTTTCGGTCATTCCATCAGTTAGGCGTTAAAATTTGATCGAATCGGTGTAAAATCGAGTTTAAAATTAGAAACAATTAAAATTTTAAGTCTATCTGTGGAAATTAACTTTTAGTTTTTTGTATTGTTTTAGTTTGTAAACTTTATATATTTTTAATTTTAGTCCATAATTTCTACAGATTCTGTCAAATATTGAATACCAAACTAACAAAAGGACTGAAATTTAATTAGAATAAAACCTCAGGGACTAACTGTGTGACATTTGAAAAGTCATAGATTAAAATGGGATTGAGATTAAACTTCAGGAACCATTTGTCAGATTAACCCGAAAACTTACGTTTTTCTGTGTTTGATTGCTGTTCAATGGTTTTTTTTTTTTAAATTTTTTTAAATTTTTTGAGGAACTGACCTGAATATATATTTTTTATTGCAATTATTATTTTTTTTATGCCAGTGAGGGTGGTTTCTTTAATGCCATAATGAGCTTTCCCGCCAATTATCCAAACAGCCCTCCAACAGTGAGATTTACCTCAGAGATTTGGCATCCCAATGGTATATATTTATGTTGATACGTTTCTAATTTTAAGTCAAATTTCTTTTTTGGGAAAATTTTCTGACAGTTCCTGTCTTGTTTTTCAGTCTATTCTGATGGGAAGGTTTGCATTTCAATTCTTCATCCTCCCGGCGACGATCCGAATGGCTATGAGCTTGCGAGCGAGCGTTGGAGTCCGGTTCATACGGTATATATTTGAAGTGTGTTGGCATTATCTCTTCTTGAGTTGTCATTGAGTTTTTATGTCCGTGTTATGGTGTGATGCTCCTTACATTTGTGGCATGGTGTTACCTTCTTTGGTTGCACACACACGTAAATGATGTGACTTGTGCGAGTATAGAAATTAGTTAAATATGTGGTTGAAACTGCCAAGCACTTTTATAATAATGGTTATTGGTGGATTCTTTTCCCTTTCCTTTCATTTTTTTAACAATAGCGTTGGAGGTCGGTGGATTCTTGGGCTAGCAGTTTGTCTGTTAGAGTTCTGAGAGCAAAAGTTGTCGGTGGGAATGAGAATGAAGAGTGAAAACTTGGAGCTGAGCATGATGTCGCTAATTGAGTTCCTGTGTTTTATTTAATAACTGATAAAAGTTTTGGTCATCTGATATTGGCTCTGATTCGCAGTTTAACTTGGTGGTGGCCAGTTGTATGACTGAAGGTTGAGATTTATCACCATGACTGAATTGAGCAATTGTATTATGGATCTCAACCTAAGCCCGGATTGAGGTGCTTGTTCTTTAACCCTAGCACAACTCTAGTTTTGAAAAGCTTGCTTGAGTTGAGTTGGGGTTAATTATTATTATTTTCTTTACACGACGTATGTTTTACCACCACATGCATGGGTTACTGAAACATAGTTTAGCTGAAAAAGAACTCTTATAGTTGTGCATGAAACAACTTTGTGATAGTTTTCTTCCAAAATTCCATTCTTCTCGAGGAGAGTATCAGAAACTGATTGGTTAATCTGTAACTAATTATAAAGTATGTTGGTCTCCACTCTCTAGTATGGATGTGATGTATGTGAAAGGGAGGGGAAGATGCTTGAGTGAATAAGTGAAAGCGGGGAACAAACAGGCAAATGGTTTATGCTTTTAGCGTTAATTGTCAAACTTTCTGCTGCTATATATACTGTATTTTGGTAGATCGCCCTGTGGCTACCACTTAAGCTTTCTTTTGTTGCTAAGTTAGTGATTTATTGAGTAAGGCTTTTGAACGCAGGACTGAGGGGAAATAATTTTTTTGATTATTATTCAAACGTACAGCAGTGAAAACAATAAATAGACCAGCCTAGGATCTAATCTTTATCCCCCTAACTAATATCCCACAAATATAGGAACTGATAAGTACTCCTAAAAGATATCTAGAACCAATCCTAATAATCGGTTTAAATTTAAAACATAACAGAAAAAATCCTATCTTTCTACACTCCCCCTCAAGTTGGAGCATAGATATCATTCAAGCCCAACTTACTGGTTAACAAATCAAACTTTGTCATAAACAGATTCTTGGTTAGGACATCAGCTAACTATTGCTTAGTGGTAACAAAAGGCATGCATATAACTCTACTTTCCAGCTTTTCTTTGATAAAATGCCTATCAATCTCGACATGCTTCGTACGATCATGTTGAATCGGGTTGTTTGCTATGCTTATTGCTGACTTGTTATCACAAAACATTTTCATGGGTGCTTCTAATTTCAGTTTCAGCTCTTCAAACACTCTTTAGCCATAATAGTTCACATATTCCATTAGCCATAGCCCTAAATTCTGCTTCGGCACTACTCCGGGCTACTACATTTTGCTTTTTACTTCTCAAAGTAACAAGATTGCCCCAAAGAAATGTACAGTATCCTGATGTCAATCTTCTGTAATATAACCTGCTCAGTCTGCATCTGTGAACTCTTCCACACTCGTTTAGTCTTTTTTTTTTTTTGAACAAAAGACCTCTTCTAGGTGACCCTTTTAGATACCTTAGGATCCGATAGACGGCGTCAAGATGTTCCTCATATAGTGAGTACATAAACTGACGTACTGCGCTAACTACAAACACAATATTGGGTCTTGTATGAGAAAAGATAAATCAGCTTTCCCACAAGACGTTGGTACTGCCCTTTCTCAGTTGGCACTCCCCCTGATTTTTCTCTTAACTTTTGGTTTGGATCCATAGGTGTGTCACTTGGTTTGTATCCACTCATCCAAGTTTCTTTAAGCATGTCCAAAATATACTTCCTCTTAGACACACAAATCCCCTTCTTTGATCTAGCAACGTCCATTCCCATAAAATACCGTAAGGGTTCCAAATCCTTCATTTCAAATTCTGCTGTAAGGCATTTCTTCAACCTGGTGATTTCTGTCTCATCGCTACCAGTAAGAATTATATCATCGACATAGACAATCAAAATTGCTACTTTACCACCACTAGTGTGCTTCATGAACATAGTGTGATCTGTTTATCCCTGAGTGTAGCCTTGTTGCTTAACAAATCTAGTGAATATCTCAAACCACGCCCTTGGAGATTGTTTTAGGCCATATAGAGACCTCTTGAGTTTGCAGACTTTTCTTCCAAAGCTTTCTTCAAATCCCGGTGGAGCATCCATAAACACTTCTTCTTCTAACTCCCCGTTAAGAAATGCGTTCTTAACATCTAATTGGTATAGAGGCCAATCTAAATTTGCAGCTACAGAGAGTAGGACCCGAACTGTGTTTAGCTTTGCAACGGGAGCAAATGTCTCTTGATAGTCAATCCCATAGGTTTGTGTAAACCCCTTAGCCACCAATCTCGCCTTGTAACGCTCCTCAGTTCCATCAGAATTAAACTTCACAGTAAAGACCCATTTGCAACCCATTGGTGTCTTTCCTTTAGGTAAACTCACTTTCTCCCATGTGCCATTCTTCTCTAGGGCCTCCATCTCCTCAAAAACAGGCTTCTTCCATTCCGGAACACTTAGAGCTTCTTGTACATTCTTAGGTACATCCACACTTGACAAATGTGAAATAAGCGAAGAGTAGGAAGGTGACAAATTTTTGTAAGACACATGATTTGAAATAGGATGTTGAGTACATTGCCTAACATCTTTTCTAAGAGCAATGGGGATGTTTTTAGGCACAACAATTTTAGAAGAAGAGGATAATTCAGAAATGTTACCCGGATTTGAAGACTCCATGACATTAGGATCTGGACTCGGATTGGAATCTCGACCTTGTAAGGATTCGATGTCATCTTTACTTTGAATCTTTCTGTTTCTCGAGTAGACAAGCCCAAATAATTTATCCTTTTTGTCATCATCTATTCTAGTAACAACTTCATTGCTAGGCACTAGGGTAGGCTGTTCAATTGTAACAGTGATGCTGTCATTTTCATTTTCAATATGATTGCTGCCATTTTTAATTTCAAACAGTGAGTCTTCATAGGTATTCTCCCCCTGAAGAGGAGCATTAAAAAAACTCTTGAGATTCGAAAAATGTTACATCCATGGTGACAAAATTTTTTTTTGTTTTAGGATCAAAACAACGGCAACCTTTTTGTGTTGGTGCATAACCAAGAAAAACACACTTTAATGCTCGAGGATCCAATTTATCATGATTATGATTATGTACATGCACAAAAGGCACACATCCGAATACTTTAAGAGGTAAATCAGAGACGATCCGTGATGTAGGAAAGATTTCTTTAAACTTTTTCAGATGTGCTTTAAAATTCAAAACTCTTGAAGGCATTCTGTTAATTAAATAGCTGGTAGTGAGAATAGCTTCACCCCATAAGTATTTTAGGAACCTTAGTTGTAAACATTAAGGACCTAGCAACTTCTAGGAGATGCTTATTTTTTCGTTCTGCCACTCCATTTTGTTGAGGAGTATCTATGCAAGAGCTGTGATGAATAATCCCATTTTCGGAAAAATATGCCCCCAAAATTTTACTGAAATACTCTCTTCCATTGTCACTCCTAAACACTTGAATTTTTTCTTGAAATTGTGTTTCCACCATATTTTAAAATTTTTTGAAAACTTGTTTAGTTTCTGATTTTTCTTTAAGTAGATAAACCCAAGAAACACGAGTATGATCATCAATTAGAGTTAGAAACCATTTTTTTCCAGAAATTGTTGGGATCCTATACGGCCCCTCATATATCACTATGAATAAGTGCAAAGGGTTTAGATGACTTATATGGCTGGGCAGGAAATGATGTACGGTGATGCTTAACAATTTGACAAATATCACACTGAAAAGGTAATGCAGTTTTATTTTTGAATAAATTAGGAAACAAGTACTTTAAATATTGAAAGTTGGGATGGCCTAACCTAAAGTGCCATAGCATTATTTCATCATTCCTAGAGATAGATAACGATTCAAGGCTAGAAAACTGAGCTTGTCCACATGAGTTACTTCCATCTTCAAAGTAATAGAGTCCACCATTCTCCTTAGCACTGCCAATCATCCTCTCCGATTCCATTTCCTGAAATTCACAATGAGTTGGGAGGAATTTAGCACAACACTTTAGGTCACAAGTTAATTTACTAATGGATAACAAATTACACGAGAGATTAGGAACATGAAGAACATTATGGAGAACAAGGGATTTCGAAATAGCTATTGATCCTTTCCTAGCGATGGCTGAAAGAGAACCATCGGCTATTTTAATTTTTTGATTCCCTGCACACAGACTATAGGAAGAAAACAGTTTAGAACATCCAGTCATGTGATCAGTTGCCCTTGAGTCAATGATCCATGGACAACCCGAAATAGGGGACACACACAAGGTAAGAGCTTGACGATAATGACCTTTTTGCACTAAAGAACAAGAGGATGACACATTGTTTGAGAGTTGTGTGGATTGTAAAAGTTTGTACAGTTGTTCTAATTGTTCCTTACTGAACAAAGGAGTCTCTAAGGTTCCCCCAAGTGTGCTCTTTTCCTCAGTACATGCCTAAAACGCCCTTGAGTCATGGTTGGGTTGTCCGAATGATTTTGGTTTCTAGTTTGGTGGCTTTCCATGTAGCTCCCAGCATGTGTCTCTCGTATGTCGAGGTTTATGGCAATGATCACACCATACTTTTTCTCCCCTTCTGTTTTGGCTTCTATTTTGTCCACTAGGTTGCGTGGATTGATTGTTTCTTGCCGCTAGATCAGAAGCTTCAGTGTCTAATTGATTGCCTTCTCCCATCATCGTCTTCCTCTGCTTTTCTTCTCTTCGAACTTCAGAAAACACTTCACGGAGAGATGGCAGGGGTCTTTTGCCAAGAATACGGCCTCTAACTTCATCCAGGTTCTTGTTTAATCCTGCCAAGAACATATACACTCTATCATTCTCCATTCTCTTCAAATACCTCAAATTGTCCTTTGCACAGTCCCATTCCTCATCATAACACAAGTCTAGTTCCTGCTACAAAGCAGTCATCTCATTGTAATACTCCATCACATCTCGATCGCCCTGCTTAGACAGCCACAGCTTCGTCTTTGATTCAAAGATCTGAGATGAATTCTCCGCATCTGAGTATGTCTCCCGAATAGCTTCCCAAACTGTTTTTGCTGTTGGTAAAAACAAAAAAACTTTTCCAATGGCTGATTCGATGGAATTGACGAGCCACGCAATCACCAAAGAGTTCTCGGATCTCCATGTCTTCAAGGCCGGATCATCATCTTTTGGTTTCTTCATTTCTCCCGTTAAGTGGCCGAGTTTCCCCTTACCGTCAATCATCAGTTTAATCGACTGTGCTCATTCTAAATAATTTTTACCGTTCAATTTGTGAACGGTCAATTGAAGAGATGGATTCTCTAATCCATGTATTGTTATGGCAGAATTTGTTGACGTACTGCCATCAGTGGTTCCTGAGGATGCGGAGTTATTTGCCCCTGTCATGGCTGTTTTAGGCATTAAAAATTCCCCTGGAAGAGCCTAAGTTATGATCCCATGACCGAGGGGAAATAATTTTTCTGATTATTATTCAAACGTATAGCAGTGAAAAAAATAAATAGACTAGCCCTAGGATCTGATCTTTATCGCCCTGATTAAATATCCCACAAATATAGGAACTGATAAGTACTCCTAAAAGATATCTAGAACCGATCCTAATAATCGGTTTAAATTTAAAACATAACAGAAAAAATCCTATCTTTCTACAGTTTTGATAATTTTTGCATACTACATCTTAATCAGTGTAAACCTCGTTTATTCAAAGTCTTCCCTTAGGATGAGGGCTTTAAGACATTGAAATCACAAGGACAGTTCAGTGCTGATAAACAGGATTTGGTCTATGCAAAGAGATCATAGAGATTATGATAGTGCAATCAGCAGTCATTCCAAATTTAGTAGCACTCTGGATGAGTTGAATTTAGTAAGATACAAATGCTGCTGTATCAGATGTGACAGACTCATGAACACATTTTTTTTTTTAGGCTTCATTTATTTTCTGCTCCAGTTTTCTTCTCTATAATGTTCTTTTCCCGGATGTTGTGTGCATTTTGTAGGTCGAGAGTATAGTATTGAGCATCATATCGATGCTTTCAAGCCCTAATGATGAGTCTCCTGCAAATGTTGAAGCTGCGGTAAGTGGGTATCTTTTCATCAATCGTTCTAACGTAGTAATGTATCTGAACTTGATTTGGGGCCTATGTGTGGATGTATTGCAGAAAGAATGGAGAGAAAGAAGGAGTGAATTCAGGAAGAAAGTCAGTCGCTGCGTCCGGAAATCACAAGAAATGTTATAGTTCACTCTATATTCTATTACGAGATGCAATTTATGTCTGCCGAAATATATCTTTTTAGAGGGGTGGGTTGATTGCTATGAGATCTTAGCATGCTCATCCTTTAGAATTTTCATTCATCTGCAATTCACCAAGACTGCTGTTTTTGAATGTTTTTCAGTAATGATGATTAGATATTTCAAGAGTGTCTAATAGTTTCTAAACTATGTGCAAGTCTTGAGAGTTCAGAATTTTCAGTTCTTTTTCTATTTTAATCCTGTGATCATGGTGGTTGTTGAATTAGAATCTTGCTTGTTGGATTGCTCTTAGGGTACGTTCGATTCAGTGAAACTTCAGCCAGTACTACTTTTTACACCATTAACTTGTTAGATGAAAATGAAAAAAGGAAGAAAGAAAATTTAAAGACCTTTTCTTAGAGAGGGCGTCGGTTGGTTCTTAACGCTTTAGTCTCTCTCTTTTTTTTTTTTTTTTTTTTTTTTTTTTTTTTTTTTTGAGAAGTGAATGTAAAGCCCTAAGATGGAACCTAAAAGAGAAGTAATTTTGCGCCCTTTTAGTTTGTTTATTTACACTTTAGTGCATCATATTGACTCTTTGCAGTTTACTTTGGTTGTGTTTACATGCCTTGTTCATCCAACGATAATTCCTTGATCTTACAAAAGGAAAATATAAGTACCCAGAAGGAAAAGAACTTGCCCAAGCTACATGGAAACAGCCAAATGGGTGCTCCTTGGGATGTATATATTATATGCACGCGCGCCTATGTGTGTGTATATATTGTCTCTATTTTTTTTTTTATAATAAATGTGAGATTTTTTACTTACTTATTATCTATTATTTTCTCTTACTTAAATTTTAAGAAAAAATAGTTTAATTTGTGTTTCTAATTATATTTTTCACTTTTTTGTAATTTTTACTTGTTATACATTGTTTTTTCTTACTTAGAATTTAAGATAAAAATGGTTTAATTTTTATTTTTATTTATATCCTTTATTTTTTATACGTTTTTTGCTTATTATCTATGGTTTTTTCTTACTAAAGGCTTAAGAAAAAATAATTTAATTTGTGTTTTCATTTATATTATTCACCTTTTGTACTTTTTACTATATCATTTTATACTGTTTTCTCTTATTTACAGTTTTAAGAAAAAGTGGTCAAATAAAAATTTGTTTGAAGAATGATATTAAGAACACCAACTTTTAAATCTCAACATGTGCGTTGTCACTTTTATATTAGTGGTTGTTTAAAACATTGCTATGTCAACAACGAAAAAGATTCATCTACTAATAAAAAGATGACAACTCACTTGCCATGATACATAAAAGTTAGGATTTGAGTTTCTCTTGCACTACTCATATTTGAATTATGTTTTGAAGGTGACTTCCGAACTCACAAGACTCGCCTCATCAAAATAGGCACTACGATCTATATATTAAGTAAAATAATAGAGTATGACAATTAGCTAGATTTATTTGTCTATATCATAAAATTGTTTTCTAATATACAATAAATATGATAGTCAAATTCATATCTTATTTTCCTACTTTTTACTAGCTATATAATATATATATGTATATATATATATATATTAAAAATGTGATCAAACAAGCCATTGTTGATTTTTTTTTTGGCATTTAATGTGCTTCATCTTTTACGCTTTTTACTTGTGAAAATAGTTTAATTTTGTTTCCATTTATGCCCTTGAGAAGTAAGGGAGTCAACCTTTTTCAAATATACAACATGAATTTTGGTAATGTAGTTGGACTCTCATGTCGACCCGAATGAATCATTCTTTCTTCGGAGGTAAATCTTTGCCCGCTAGACAAGAGGATAGCAAGTTACAAATTCTGTTTTCTTAGAGCTTCTATTTACGCTTCTCATTTTTTGTATTTTTTACTTGTTATCTATTGTTTTCTATTACTTTGAGTTTAAAAAAAAATGATTCAATCTTATTCTTATTACTTTGAGCTTACTTATTATACCCTTATTCTTTTGTATTTTTTACTTGCTTATTATTTACTATTTTCTCTTACTTCAAGAGCAACAAAAGGTGGTTAAATTAAATAATATTTGTATTACGTGTTTAAGGTGGCCTCTAAATTCATAACTCTTTTATTAAAACAGGTTGTGCGGTCTATATATTAAAAAAAATAATTCTAGAAAAATAATTCTACATTACAATGACAGTATGAATTACGTACTTTTTTTCATTTATATCTTTTTTCTTCCCTTATAAAAAATATCTTTTTGTATTTTATTGTTAATTTATCTCTCTCTCTCTTCTCTCTTTGGTTTCTATTGCAACTCGCGTGCGTCTTTTACTAGTGCTATAAATAAGAGACACGCACAAAGAAACAGTTTTGGTCTGAGATCCAACCGAAACCATTCAATATGACCATAAAAGAAGATAACGCATTTATATATATATATATATATCTATATATGTGTGTGTATATATATACATATATTTACACACACCCACACACATATATGGCCTCGAAAGAGAGAATGTAAATAGTAATCAATTCTTTGCTGATAGTTTGCAATTCAGTGGCAACACATTCATGGTCATCCATTGTTGTTCATATGCGGCAGGAGGAGATTTATGATTTAGGATTAGGTTTTCTCTTTAAGAATTTGGGTATTCGTCATGGATTTTGTTACTATATTGAGAATTAATGGAGTAATGTAAAAAAAAAAAAAAAATCAATTATCATTTAGCGCCATTTTTTTTTTCTTCTGTGCATTCATTGTTAATGTTGTAGGTATAGTTTAATAGTAATTCACATTCAACTCTACCTTGATGTAGAGTTCAAATGCTTAACTTTATGCTTAAAAAAAAAGAAAAAAATTCATTTTGATATCCTTTGTTATATTGAAATATGAGTTTGGTACTTTTTGTTTTTAATAATTTCATGCCGGTACCTCGATTTTTAAAAAAAATTATTTTTGATATCTCGGAGTAAATTTTTGGGACACGAAAAGTTAATAAAATTGTCCTTATTATTAAATATATAAAAAGCTTTCTAAAAAATCTTAAACATGCAACCAAGATTTTTACTTTATGTTTGGGACATAGTGAAATTTAGGGGTTTGAATGTAGGTTTAAGTTTTTGTTTTTTAATTTTTTATATATTTAATAATAAGGGTAATTTTACTTTTTGTATCTCAAAAAACTGTCTCGAGATACTAAAAGAAGATTTTTCAAAAGGTTGAGGTATCGGCATAAAATTATTAAAAACATAGAGTATTGAATTCAAATTTCAGAATATTAGAATGAAATTTTCTATAAAAAAAAATAATAATGAAGATTGAGCCGAGATAATTAAAGTTTCAGGTTGCACCTCACATCTTCCTTGCTACAACTGCTGTAGAATGTAAGTTGGAACAAAAGTGTCTCAAAGTTTGGAACTTGAATTTGTGAAGATTAGCTTTGTTCAAACATGGGTCCGCAATTTAAAATAGAATTGCCACTTATATATCAGGAAACAAATTATGTTGATGACAGGAAACAAAATTATGTTGATATCAATGTCTTCATCAACATAATTTTGTTTTAGTTCTCCATCTCTCTATCGTATTCATAATCATCCAACTATACATTCGTATCCGCAAAAATTGTCTGCAAACCAATGGCAAACAATTTGAGCTCCAAGCTTAAGATATTGACACATTTACTTGATAATTGTATTTTTTTCTTTTGCTAAAAGTTAATAGCTAATTGAACCTGTCGAGGCAGCTGAGCTTTTTATTGACTTGAGGTTGCATCGAAAAAAAAAAAAAAAAGACTATCAAAGAGACAAACGTCTAAGGCTAAAATAGTGGCGTTAGGTGGATGGGAAGTAAAGTGGGACCTTAAGGGTCCGTTTGGTATAAGGATTGTAATTAGAGTGATTTAAGTCTTTGGATTCAGAATCATGATTTATGATTTGAATTATGTTTCATGGTGATTTGAACCTTTGTTTGAATGTGTAGAGGCATAATTCTGATTCTAACTTGAATCATGATTCGAACAAGTGTTTGGTTGTGTTGTTTTCTGATTTTGAACCATGACCAAAATAAGAACCATCTTGTGTTCATGTAAATTACGTTACGTGTAATTTTAAAAAATATAATTTGGTATATAAGTAAGAAAATGAAATATTAGAGACAAAATTAAATGCAAAAAATTATAACTCAAAATTATAATAAGTTAAATGAGAAATAAATGGAAAAAAATTGCGCATTAGCCAAAACTAAGGCAAATAACAAGCATTCGGGTTGAAAAGAGAAATTAGTTGACATGATACAAACGTGCGTTACGAACGTCAAATTTTTTTTTGTGCAACTACAATGAATACACGAATTATAAAGTAACAGAGGTAGAATCCCATTGCTGTTATATACTTTCAAACTTGTTTTCCACGGCTTCCTTGGTATTCTACCCACATTTTATTCGCAAGGCGATTCCTAAAACGACTCATCTCTGTACGACTAACACTACCTGCTGTTACAACTGGGCCTTCAGGGACATTGCCATCATTGTCATCGTCATCAAATTCATCATCATTGTTTGGATCTATTTCACTTACAGGTACACCATCACGGTGGTATTGACTTAGAAGCTGATCCCCCTCATTAACCATGTGAATGAAATTATGTAGTATTGCACAGACAACTGGAATTTTCATTTGTTTATTCATTGGATATGTATTATTAGGCCGCCTTAGGATAGAGAACTTAGCATTCCAAACCCCAAATGTTTGCTCTATACAATTTCTTAATGATGAGTGTTTGTAGTTAAAAATATCCCTAGGTCTCTGAAATCCACCACTTCTCCTTCTATAATAAGGCAAATGGTAAGTCTCACCTTTGCACGAAGCGAGAAACAAATCATTGTTCGCATATACTGCATCAACAAGATAGTATTTTCATGTGCAACATATCTAAATTAGGCTGCAAATTGAAGGTCCATAACAATAAATAGACATAAGTGTAACCTGGTGGGGGACGTGGGAACTGAAACCTAGGATTGTCAAGCGCATCTGCGAGCACTTGAGCATCGTGGGCTGAACCTTCCCAACCGGATAATATGTATGTGAACTTCATATCAAATGAGCAAACTGCCAATATGGTCTGGGAGTTCACACCCTTTCTATTTCGATAAGCCGTTGGATTATGAACACCAATTGGTGTACAAGGTACATGAGTAC